AAGGATGACTCGTCCCACGGCTATCAGCGCGTGTCCATCACCCTCGGGCTGAGCCAGGCAGCCAAGGAAGGGAGCGGGCAGGCGATGACGGGGTTCTTCGTGTACGCGAGCAAGAGGCTGCTCATCCCATTCCTTCAGCTCTCTGTCCAGAAAGATCGGGTTGGTCGAGGCGTCATCGGCCTCATTGAGATGGAACATGTCTTCTCCTTCACAATGACAAAGGTCTGTCACTCCCCTGAGGGATCCCTTCTTCCTCCCTCCCTCCCTCCGTACCAACCCCCTCCCTCCTTCCATTTCTCAGACTCTCCCTGACTCTCTCTGCAGTGGGTTCTGGTAGGCAAGTTTGTCGAGCAGAGCATGTTCGGAATATCTCAAGGACCTCTTGGAGGAAGGGGCTGGGGATTTGACGGGGTCGAGCCCACGCTAGATCGCTCGCATTCCCTGTTCCCATTTCACAGCGTCGTAGAAAGCAGCTACGAGGGGAGGAGAGGGGAGGGGAGAGGAGAGGAGAGTAGAGGAGAGTGGAGAGAAGAGGAGAGGAGAGAAGAGTAGAGGAGAGTGGAGAGGAGAGGAGAGGAGAGGAGAGGAAATAAGAGTGGAGAGGAGAGTGGAGAGGAGAGTGGAGAGGAGAGGAGGTAAAAGGGACGAGAATTCAGGGGATGAAGAGAGAGAAAGAAGAGCAAGAGGGGAAGGAAAGGAGGGGAGGAGGAGGAGAGGAGAAGAAGGTCAGGCATCAGCGGGTACAACATGCAACACCTCACTGGTAGGTCAGAGGGCCATGTTGCATCATCCTCGTAACCATGTTCCCCTCTAAGATCGCTGGAGCTTGCGTGTTCTTCCTCCTCTTCTGCTCGCAGACTGTTACTCCTTCCCCACCCTCCTCCGCCCCTCCTCCTTTCTGTCCTCCTCCTCCATCTCCCCTTTCCCTCCTCATTCGACCCCTCTCCCTTCCTCCTCTCCTTCCTTTAGCAGGACTGACCTCGAAATCCGCCATGGCGGCGTTAACGTTCACCCCGAAGCTCGCCTGCCTCACGGTTAACTGCTCCTCCCTCCCCTCTCCCTCCTCCTCCAGCCTACCTGTGCCTCTCCCTGCGCAGCCGCATTCGCTTCCTGGGGATCGCTTGCTCAATCGCTCTCCTCCTGCTCCTGCTCCTGCTCCTGCTCCTCCCTCACCTTGGGGCCCTTCTTCTTGCCAAAGGACGAGAACAGTCCAGACTTCCCTGAATCCTGCACGAGCATCAGCATGCAGAAAACTCCTCTTCCACTCCCCGTTCCTTGTCCCAATCCCTCCTCCCCACGCGCATCTCTCCTCTCCCCTCCTCTTCGTTCCACTGCTCCTCCTCGCCCTGATACCGTGATACTCCCTCTATGTACTTTTGCTCTCCTCTTCCCTCCTCTCCTCCTCCCCTCCTCTCCTCCTTCCCATCATCACCTTCATCTCCTCGATGTTTGCCCTCCCTTGTACCGACTCAACCTTCTGTGCCCTCCTCGGCGCCTGCCACGTCTCAGTCCAGCACCGGCTGCCTCTTCTCCTACCGAGAAGGACGAAGAATCCGCTGGCGTCCCCATCGACCCCTCCCATGAACGTCAGCAGCAGACATTCTTCTCTCTTCTGCCTCACCCGCAGGTCTCGCATCTCACTCTGCTTGCTCTGCATCTTCACTGCCAGCGCCAGCGCTCGATCCATCGCCTCCTTCTCCCTCTGCTTCTCCCTTCCAATCCCCCGTCATCCCTCCTGCTCCCTGCTCCCCATCCCCTTCCTCTCTAGCCCCCCCCCTCCGCTCTCCCTCTCTCTCTCTCTC